GTGAATGCTTAAAGGGCTACCTTATCAATTTTTGGTGAAACTCATTTATAAGTAAAGCCACCTTCTCTTTACGCACGTTATCCCATTCTATGAATTGGTTGTAAAATGTCAAATATTTCCTGGAACAAATATGTCTTGTCGCTCTAAATGAGAGGCAGACTTTCTAAACGAATCTATTGTTAGGAAAGGGAATTTGAAATTGACGTGTGAATTCTCTAACCAGTGTCTGATGACGACACGTTTGAAACATGGCATTTTTGTGTTTTACATTAACGTCCATCCATTTTTTTTTCGTACACTTAAATGTCTCCAAAATCACGATTTTTTGTTAAGTGCTTATTTTATTATCCAGCTCACGACTTAAGTGCAACGACCGGTCTATATATTTTATAACTATATATTTATGTTTTCACAATAAAGTTCAGCAAATTTATCTTGTGTAGCCTGTTGGCCTGTTGACCTTTCCCTCCCATGTCATGTCTGAACACAAAAGTAGGTGAACAGTAGCTGAACAGTACCTGAAGACATATGCACATGGAATCCATCGACTGTACCAATAAAGCAAAATCTTCTGTCATCCAATGATAACGCAGTTAGATAGGCCGTCTCCGTGGTGTTGTGAGAGGAACGTCTCCCGGAGAGCGTGAGGTCGCTGTGTCGATCCCAGTCGATACCAAAGACCAGAATCAATTATTGTTGTCTTTGGTATCGACTGGGATCGACACAGCGATTTCACGCTCTTCGGTGTCTCTCTTGATTCTGGTTGTTTCGGCATTGATGCTTCCATGCACGAATGCCTGTGACCCTGTAGTGTTAGTGACCCTGCCTTACCTATATGCTGATGCTGAATAGTGTCTGAGTGGGGCACATTATAAGAAATAAATGATTATTCAGGACTACTACTCCCTCTCCCCTTCTCTCTTCTCTCACTCTCAAACGCACAAGCACACACACACTAATAAGTATACGTGCTTGCAAGATCAATAATATTTAACGCAACCTTAAAGTCTATGTAACCTCACCGCATTCGAATGGCTACGAGTAAACATCACTAAATGTCAATAGTGTCGGCAGTTCCTCAATTAAACCTGACAAAAAACAACCAATAACGTCACAGACGTCTGTAGGCGTGGATTAAATGGATTATGTTTTCTAGTTTTACAACGGTATTGGCATCTAGCAAGTCGTTAAGCAAACAGTACATGACACGCGGACCACACGAGACAACAGTTCATGAAAACACCGGACAACAATTTAACACAATCGTCCTAAATGTGACTTTTATGTTTACTTCAATGAACAATTATGCTCCCAGGGCAAAACTTAATTTGTAACTTGAAAACTTAGTTTACACTAAGGTTAGAGTGAGCGAGTCAGTTAAAATGCAAACTCGCATCGGCATTTTTCAGGCACGTAGTGACGAGATTAGAGACAGTTTCATCTCGTGGTCTAACGAATCGTTTCAACGATTATATGGTAGGGTCAGAGTGTTCTAACGTATATTGACCTACATTGTGTGAGCGCATTCATTAAATGCTAACACTGTTTCAACAGATATTTAATATTTCTGTGCCAATGAGAATACTATAGAATATTACGACATGTCTTATGATTATATGTTCAGAGGACCCGTGAAGATCCGGGTTAGAGCTGATCTTCAGTAACCCCTGCTTGCCATAAAAGGCGACTAACTGGATCGGGTGGTCAGGCTTGCTGACTTGGTTGACATATGTCAATGTAGATCGATGCTCATACTGTTGATCACTGGATTGTCTGGTCCAGATTCGATTTTTTACAGACCGCTGCCATATAGCTGGAGTATTGCTGATTGCGGCGTAAAAGTAAACTCGCTCACTCGCTCTATTTTCAGAGAAGACTTTGGTCCATGAATGGGCACATCTCCGGTGGGGATTATTTGATGAGTATCCTATTGACCCCCAAGATACTCCTTTCTACAGACACGCCGGCAAGTGGGAGCCAGTCAGGTGAGACTCGTGTTGTCTTCGTGTTTGTTGTATGTTGTTGAACGCCGCATTCGGCAGTGTTACAGCTGAATGATGGCAAGATGTAAATAAGCGAGACAATTAAGCGACTGATGCCACGAACATCGATTTACTTAATGGGAATACAAAGACAAAGCCTGGCCACCCGATCCACTTAGTCTACTCTAAAGAATATAAATTCAAACAATGTTTCAGAAAAAAAGGGAACCACTTTGATTCAAGAACATCAAAACATGCCTCATTCAGAAAACAAATTTAAAAAAAAATCAAGTCTGAACCTAATACTTTAAGCACTCAATCACACAGTTATGTGTAGGTGACATATCTCTGTTAAGTTTATGTTGGCGCGGATCTTTCCGTGATAAAATTTACGATTTATGTATATTTTTACACTATAATGTCCCGTATTTTAAGGAAGAATATAAAAAAGAAGATATGCATACAAAATACTTTCAACACAGCTCATGACATTAATGTGAGGTGTGTCTCATGTAACGAGGAGAAGGCAAACAACACACCCCTCTTGTGGCAGAGGCGAAAACCACAACATGTCTGTCGTGACATTTAACAGGATTGATGGGGTTCTTCTCAGTGAAAAAATATTGCTTCCAACACCAAATTTAATATACAACTTTAGTACTCATGATTTCCAATGGTTCTTTTTTAGAATTGAAATACTGAATATTTGGATCTTTAACTAAATATTCGTATCGTTTGAAAATAATGTGTATAATTTCGAGATTACAAGATGATATTTGCCATTCCTGTAATTTTAAATGTCTTTTAATTTCCCTCCTCTTTATTCAAAGAATTCAATGACTTTATTCAGTACTTTGGCCACATGGCCTATTGGACAACAACATGTCAGAATATAATTTGGTCACGCGTGGTAACTGGTATTAAATATATTTTTGAGATATAATGCAACAGATTTAATAAAGTTCATATAATTATTTACTACAGTGTATTTAACAAATGTATCATACTTTGAGTAGCAATAATAGAATTGTTTGGCAAACATCTACTCCACTGCGATGAATATACTTACTACAAAGAAATAATACACGAAACTCATCTTCCATACCTCCTCTTTATGTATATTAGTGAGGAGAGAAACATTAAAGATGTCGCTATTTAGAAACGTATTAGTGTCTAGTAGGTATTATCCTATGCTACCTCAACTTAGGACATAGTATCCTATGCCACGACTGTACCGAAATGGGGATTTGAACCCGAGTTTTCCGCCTAACGAGCGAACGTCTAGTTTCCTAAATATACATGTCGAGAAGAGACGACTGGACATGAGTCATGGGACAAATATTAAGTATGAAGGACCCACCCTAATTAAGGTCAGCTGGTCAAGGTTCTGGACAGGATGCTGATATACAAGTAACATAAACATTGTGTTCAGGTGACGGATCATTCCATCAGGTGCCACTCATGGTTGACACAAACCATCACTAATTAGCCATTATTTGTCATGTGATATTTAGTAATGGTTCGAGTTCACTTTAGGTGGGTTGACATGACTTCTTGTGGAGTTTGTTCTCTGGGTTTAATGTCCTTTCGCCAAGCTAAATATCGTACAGGGGAAGCGCTAAATCATTTTGTGACTCTCATCTTTGTCAGTTGTGAACATATAGGTTGTAAAATATTTTTTTAATTACTTCATAGAAAAGTCAACGGTGAGAGTATATTATGTACATATATGTGGAAACTAAGTAACTGAAAACTATATAAATATGGATATTATATAAATGCTGAATACTATATAAATGCTGAATACTATATAAATAATAATAATAAACAACAGGTCACCAAAATTACATTATGCACATAAAAAATAGAATATCTAAAGTTAGGACACAGCGTTTAATTATATAAAACAACTGACTTCAAATTATGTTCAAGGATGATCTATATCTGAAATTTTATTCCGCATGCAGCTTTGAAATGTCCTTTGTTAGTGGTTAGTGTGACAAGTTGAATGATCGTTCACAAATTATAATAGGCACGAGAAACAGAAGAAATACACCAATATTTGAATGTATATTCGTATTGTGTTAACACGAAGACCAGTTGCAGTTTTCATCAGAGCATATGAGAGAAGGACCGACGTGGTCAATGCAGAATACGTTAGCTGTAGACTCCACTTATCCAGGTCGATAATCAGTGCGAATCTGGATTTCGTATCCGCGACTTTGTAACTCTGGAAACCACATCGCACAGAAAATGAATATGTCGATGGCATCACAGTACATTACTTTGTCGATGATGTTAGAGTTTTATTACTTTGTCCTCAAACTTTTATTAGTTTGTTGATGACATCAAAGGTATATTAGTTTGTCGATGGCATCAAAATATAACTAGATTGTTGAAGGCATCAGACTTTTATTAGTTTGTCAAAGGCATCAAAGTTATATTAGTTTGTTGATGGCATCAACGTTTTATTAGTTTGTCGATGGCATTAAAATATAACTAGATTGTTGAAGGCATCAGACTTTTATTACTTTGTCAAAGGCCTCAAAGTTATATTAGTTTGTTGATGGCATCAAGGTTTTATTAGTTTGTCAAAGGCATCAAAGTCATATTAGTTTGTTGATGGCATCAAAGGTTTTATTAGTTTGTCAAAGGCATCAAAGTTATATTAGTTTGTTGATGGCATCAAAGTTTTATTAGTTTGTCAATGGCATCAAAGTATAATTAGATTTTTGAAGGTTTGAAACTTTCATTAGTTTGTCGATGGCATCAAAGTTATATTAGATTGTCGATGGCATCAAAGTTTTATTAGTTTTTCGATGGCATCAATGTCATATTAATTTGTCCATGGCATCAAAGTTTTATTAGTTTGGCGATGGCATCAATGTTTTATTAGTTTGTCTGTGACATCAAAGTTTTATTTGTTTGTAACCATATTAGTTTACCAGCACTAACTGCGGGTCCATTTATCAATGTAACTTTAACAGATGCTCCACGGAGGTGGAAGGAGTTTTGCGAAGCGAGCGCACAAAAGGCGAGTGTCCATTTGACATGTTCACCGGGCATCCAGGAGACGGATGCAAGTTCTACCCCATAATGAAGAACAACCACGGAGTGTCTTCAATAATGTTTATGCAGTATCTAGACAGTGTGAGTATAACCATATATCCCATAGCAATAACATGCCTGATATATGTATAATATGCATGATATGTCATGTAAGGTGGTGAGCTAAAAAAATGGCGTTTAAAGTCCCCTTGAACATTACTTACAATGCGTAAGTCGGGTCGGGAAGCCTAGAGGTTAAGGCGTTCGCTCATCAAGCCAAAGACGCGGGTTCGATTCCCCACATGGGCACAATGTATAAGCCCATTTCTGGTGTCCCCGGCCGTGATGTTGTTGGAATATTTTGCTCAAAGAGGCGTAAAGGTAAACTCACTCGCTCACTCACTAACTTACATGGCGACCTGCATGTACATGTTTGCGCATCTGTGGGTGAGTGAGTGAGTGAGTAAGTATGATTTTACGCCGCTTTTAGAAATATTCTAGCAATATCACGGTGGGGGACACAAGAAATGGGCGTCACTCATTGTACCCATGTGGGGAATCGAACACAGGCCTTGGGCCTGACGTGCGAACGCTTTAACCACTCGGCTACCCCAGCGCCCCGATTGCATGGAGAAAGGGAAGTCAAGGGATGTATTAGTTGTCGTGCCGTGATGGTACCTGTTGTTACCCTGTCTGGCACCCAGCAAAATGGCTAAGATGAAGTCTGTCCGGCTCGGAAAGGCATGTACATGACAAACTGAGGCATGGTATCTTAAATGATTAGGTCAATACATCCAGCATCGGTCGCACGGCTGTCACACATTTTACCCATGTGAGGAATCGTACCAGGGTCTTCGGCGTGACAGTATTGCTGTATAAGATTCAAAAGGCGTGTATAAAAATTTATGACTGAGTGAGTGAGTTAAAATTTTACTTCGCTTCGGCAATATTACAGCCATATAGCGATGGAAACAAGGTATTCAATTTTTAAATATCTGTTGACAAAGAACAGTAAGATAGGTATGTATATCACAGTTCTAAATAAAACCAACCCGATGAAAACTAAAACAAGAAGACAGTCGATTCAGTAGATTCATTCTTAGCAATTATAACCAGGCTATAAACCAATAACAACCAATTTGAAAGTTTGACCACCGTACTGGGGATAAAGACACACTGAGTATGACCAAGACCATAAATACGATGAATCAAGAATGAATATCACTGCGTGATATTAAATTGAAATTCATATTAAATGTAATTTTATTTTCGCATACACATGTACTCTCCCACAGAAAAAAACGCATCATGAAAATAGCAATTTCATGTAGCAATGAAATAAAACGTGATTCATTTTACAAAAGGTTTTCCTCTGTTTATGAGTCGTATGGTGTTTATGTTTTGAAACATCACAATAAAACGCACCGTCCGTAAAATACCCGTATTTAACAGCATGATTTTCAATTTCGGCGTGTAGTGTCACAGAATACACAATTCACATGCAATGCACGTGAATGTTGGGGATCAGATAGTCTCAATGATGGGTATAAAAGGTTGGTCGCTGTCTGTCGATTATTCACTGTATTTGGAATATTGTTGACGAACGCAAAATGCCACGTGTAAGTGAAGCCAACCGTCATATCGCCATTGGTTTGCTTGAAGCTGGCCAGTCTCAACGGGCAGTTGCCCGACGCATGAATGTTCACCAAAGCACCATTTCACGGCTCTGGGAGAGATATTGCCGGCAGAACGCGGTAGCAGATGCCCCTCGTAGTGGGCGACCTCGAGCGACCACTGCAGCGCAGGATCGCTACATCCGGGTACACCACATGCGTCATCGAACAGCTACGGCGACCAGTACCGCTCGACAAATACCCGGAGTGAGGAAGCTTTCTGCACAGACCGTCAGGAACAGGTTGAGAGAGGCTGGTTTACGTGCCAGAAGACCTTATTTTTGCCCTGTGCTTCGACAACAACATCGTCGACATCGAGTTAAATGGTGCACCAAGGTTCAGGCCTGGAACCTACCGAATTGGCGTAGAATCTGGTTCAGTGATGAATCACGGTTTCTATTGGAACGACGCGATGGAAGAATGTGGGTATACAGATGTCGACGTGAACGTTTCGCCGACGCTTGCGTTCCCGAGGTGGACAGATTCGGCCGGGACAGTGTTATGATGTGGGGAGCGATCACCTGCCGTAGGAGAAGTGATTTGGTGATGATCAAGGGCAACCTGACAGCTCAACGGTACTGTGACGAAATCCTACTCCCACACCTCCTTCCAATCATTGATCGCCAGAGGGAGTTGTTTCAACAGGACAATGCCAGGCCCCGCACAGCACGTCACACTAAAGACTTCCTACAGAACCACAACATCAATGTGGTCCCCTGGCCCTCAAGATCACCGGACTTAAACCCGATCGAACATCTGTGGGATGCCCTGGACAGACGGTTGCGACGCCGTAACCCTCAGCCCCAGACACTTCAGCAACTCGCACAGGCACTACAGGCAGAGTGGGCTGCGATTGGGCAACACGAGATTCTGAGACGTATTCGTTCGATGCCGAGGCGATGCCGTGCAGTTCTGGATGCCCACGGTGGTCACACGAGGTATTGACTTCAGCGTCTCCATGTGACGCTCAAACTGACTTTCCTCGATTTGGTGCCAAAGACGGATAAGTCTGCATTCCCAGTGTGCAATTTCGCTATATTTCATAGACTCATAAAGCCTACAAGATGTTTCAAAATAAACATAAAAATACAGTTGAAAATCCTATATGCGTTTCTTTTTTGGGAGAGTATATTTCAGTTAGACAGTATGGTAATTTGGTACAGTAGAAGTATGACTCCTTCTTCAGGCAGCTAATCACATTGTAAGATGATCCTAAAGGTTGCCCGAAACTATACACATTCTAACCTTGTATAATATTATTACGTCAAAGACACTACAGCAGGTGGTCTCAAGGCGTACGTTTGACGTACACCATAGGAATGTGAAACAAATGTGTTTTCATTTACGGTAACAGCCAAATATATATAGGGTGCTCAGGATAAACTATTCTCTGTGCACGAATTCTAAATGTTTGCCCATAATGCAATTCCGTCAAATGTAGCGTTATAATTTATGACATAGACGTCGTGAACTCTCTTGTAATTAACCGTCACGTGAACGGCTGAACACAGTTGGAATTTTCAGTTGACGTACTCTGTCAAATCACGTACTGACGCTAGTTAAATATGTATGAACAAAAAACAAATGTTAGATGGGAACAGCACCGGCATGACAATATCGGTGCCTCATACATCAGCTTGGCAAAACTTCCTGGCGTGCGTTGTTAAACGCTACATTTAGGACAATTCCAGCTGTATGACGGCGGTGTGTAACAAACCAGATAACCTAATGGTTGATGCCATGACCGTCAAACCAAGCAATTTGGATGCAGTGTCATGTATCGACCAAGAACGCTCTTGTTCATGAATCCAAGGGACATGCAAATTAACTATAGCCATTGCAAGAAATCAAGTTTACTACCTTTGTGCAGCATACACGAAACGCCAAAAGAAACGTTACCCTCCTGCCTTAGTGACGGAGGTACCTATCTTAAGCTGGCGTTGTGATGCGTGGACGTCTATTACAACACAATTTGAAAATACCAAACGGTTTGATAATTATTTGAATGCTAGACTATCGGAAGTTGGAAGAACCTGAGGATAAACGTTTACGGATGACCCAGAAGTTGCCCTGCATAGGCGGATCCAGACCCCCACCCCTCTTTTTTCGTCCTGAAAGTTTATCAAATGACCATGGAAACTCGGATGAAGAGAAACTGTGCCACCCCCATCCCTCTCCTTTCTTTTTTGAACTTTGCACCGCCACCATCCTGTATCAGCCCCTGTAATGCGTTTTTACAATCAGTAAAAAATCTTTCTTGGCACGAAACCAGGTCATCATAAACAGTGACAAAGTGGGTGGAGCTATGCATGTTTCACTTCAGTTGTGTATTTTTAAATAACTTCATATAAATAGTTACAGTACAGTCGTCCCATACATCAAGTATGTTGGCATTCTAAACCCGATGACGCATCCAGCGAGGATGACCCAGCGCTTGTTTTAAGGGACGGTTCATAATTTATAGCTAGAGGGGTGAGGATGATTTTAAAGGGGTGCCCAATTTTGTTCTGGGGAGGGGGGGGGTTGTCACCAAGTTTGTACACGTGTACTAGGGTAGTGGTAGCAATGTTGTACATATAAATATCTAAAAAACGTATGCTTAAAAATATCTGAAGGTGGAGGGTGGGGTGGGGGTCCATTCATTTTGTACATGACATGCAGGGTGGGTGTGTGGTCACATACTTTGTACATAAATATTAGGGGGGTCTCTCACATTGTAAATGCTACTCCATAAGAATCGTCACACGCACGCACGCACACACACACTCACACACACCAAATCCATAAATTATTAACGGTCCCCCATAAGTAGTACAATTAAGCCGGGGAAAGATGGATCATTACGAAGGTGGAATGTGTTCAGATACCGGACTTGCACAAGTATGCGTTGTACATGTACGTTACAGAACGGGCTGGCCTTGACCTGGCCGTTTGGGTCACTACAGCCAGAGATGAACGTTTGTAAATATGGACGAAGTGAGTTAACTGAGGGTTTAAAGTCTCTCAATGGTATGTCGGCCATGTCACAGCCTGTCAGCGTAAGGTGGGAGGAAGCTATTATTATGAAATCTTTGGAGGGAAAGTGTCGCGCTTACACAACAAGCCAAACGTATCATAATTTACTATAACGCGACTTCACGACAATGGGACAAAAGGCCAAATTATCGCCTTGTCGCATGATGCGCTTGGTTAATTTTGTTTAAAGGCTCAATGTCACCCCACACCTCTCTTAAAAGATAATAATGCATTTCTCTCAATATCAGCCCCAAAGAAGCTACCATATGATTTATTCAAAAAATAAATTTACGTGTTTACATTACAAAATGAAATTAAAAAGTTCGAATGAAATAATGCAACGTTTCATTAAATCGACTCTCGTCCCCGCTACCGGCCGAACATTATTCCAAGGTTGGTTGGTTGGTTGTATAGTTTTAGGGCGACGTGGGCCAATATGAGGCCTATTTGCGCCCAACACATTGACTTGATTTAATAAACAATCATAGGTAATTTCATTGCCAAAAGGAATCGTTTAGTTAAGATAAAAGAAACGACAACACTATTAATTTGGATAGATGTATACATATATCGAATAACCTCTGCTTTGTGTTACGGATTAAAAACCTTAAGTAATCACTTCCATTTCTGAAACATGAAATACTCATTCAATAAAAAAGCAGTAGGTTCAGATGACAGAGTGTCAAAATGATTTAAAACCACAGAACTAAATCTGTCTAAGCCATTCGAGAGCCTGTCTAGATTACATCATATTTTCCAGATGACGAGACAAAATCCATTATTCCAAGCGAACCCTCATAGAGTTATATCCCTTGGAGCGCTCTTTATGAATATCCCACGCACAACTTGTTATTGAAACCAGTTCGGAAAACATCGAAAACACCGCGTGCGACAGTCTTCGGTGTACGGAGCAATTGTTTACATTCCGCATTTAAGTTTCAATTATCGATTTCAGGCAAATCGTAAGGGATAATAAGTCTTTTATTGTATCAATAAGAAGCTAAAGTGGGTGCATATGCCCCAATATGTATAGTAGAGGCCAAAATACTGTCAAAATGTGTGACACTGTGCCTTTAAGGACGACAACGGTACTACGTAATTTCTAGATTTAAAAAAAACAAACGTGGCGCAATAGGTGGATGTGTTCCATTTAGTGCAACGGACGAAAACAGGCGCTGACAAGTGAGCTATTAGGGCCATTCCATCCTGGCACGACAAAGGGAGGAAACTTAATATGATAGGGAAGCACAGACTGAGTTAAAGACGGTAACCATTTTACAAAGAGACTGTGTCGCTGTGAGGAACTGACATCTTAAATATCGAGCACAGGCATTTTGTTGAGACAATACAAAGCAAAGAAAGCATATCTTGTATATACTGAATTTTTTTCTGGATATATAAGCAAATTACTCACAATTTTTTTATAATACATATTTAACAAAATATGAACTATACGACCCCTTCCTTTATTTGTGTGTAGAACAATTTATTAATAATCTGACGTCTTATTATATGAGAAGACTCGAAAATGCTGACGGTTATCAACCATTTTGTCAACCATTGCCCCATATTTGATAGGTGACAAACATGAAATACAGCACAACTGCGTTTATAGCGAACTCGCTTATAGCGAACTGACAGATATAACGAGTCTTTTTGTCCAGACCACTAACTATGGTTATAACGAACTTAAATTCAACTGAGTAGTATACTGCATGTGAAATGTAGAATGATGGTTTCATTTGGATCATTTAGTTAACGAGGGTATGTGTTTTGTAGTTACAACAGCGACCGTTAAGGTTCTGCTTGACTGACTCCATTCCATGACTCCATGTGGCACACGTCACCTCCGCAGTTAATACATGTGTCACGTGACACATGTGTCAGCTCAACTGTCAGCGGACTTCAGTTAATTAAGTCGCTGGCATGTCAGTACTCTGACAGTACATACTCCCGCATGTGGGCTCGTCCACTTATCCCGAGGGTGGGTGGGTGGTGGGAGGGGTGGTGTAGCCTTGTGGTGTTCGCTCGTCACGAGTGAGTTTATTTTTACGCCGCTTTTAGTAGTATTTCAGCAATATCACCGCGGGGGACACAACAAATGGGTTTCACATATTTTACCCATGTGGGGAATCGAACCCGGATATTCGGCGTGGCGAGCGAACGCCTTAACCACTTGGCTAACCCGCCGCCCTCGTCACGACGTACTATAGTCCGTTTGGCTCAAAAGCGGACCGATGAATTGCAATCTAACTCGAAAACTAATAAACATATAATACTCAATGAAACGCTGATCATAATCAAAACATCAGACCAACTCTGTGATTTGTTTTCAGAATTTATGTTCTAAAATTAAAAAAGTTGTTAAACAAACTATCATTAAAATTTTGACACAGTTCACCAATTGTTACGAGGGAGGAGACCAGAGGAAGGGACAGCCAGGTGTTAGAGAAGCACGTGCACAAGTGCCGACAACGTTATTGATTCATTAACCTGCGCTGTGCTGTCTCCATCCTTTCTCGCACACCTGTCTGTCCCTTTCTCTGCACTCGTCCCTTGTAACAAATAGTGTATTGTGTCGATATTTTAATGATAGTTTGTTAAACAACTTTTTTATTTTTAGGACATAAATTCTGCAAAAACCTCACAGAGTTGGTCTGAGGTTTTGATTATGACCAATGTTTCATTGAGTATTTTATGTTAATTAGTTTTCGAGTTAGATTGCAATTCATCGGTCCGCATTTGAGCCAAACGGACTATACCTGGATGCATGCAATGTGTGAAACACAGTTTTCTTGTCTTGGTTATGTACAGACAACCGTCATATAGCTTGAATAATGCTGAGTGCGGCGTTAATCAAGAAATTTGCAACAACGTTAAAATATCCGTTCCTAATTGGATACTGTTGGTTACCGTATGGGTAAATTGTTCCAAGTAAGCATCAAAATAAATTTTATATACCCCTTTGTAAAATGTCAAACTTCATGTCATAGGCAATACAGTGATATCATGTAATTATTTCAGAACTGAACATCTTTCAAATTTAAATGTAGTTTATGGAACAGGCGCAAGGGCGATAACGGTGAATGTGTTTAAGTTGTTTGCCGTAGATGTCACGCAAGCCTTATTCATGAAAATATTTCTGATATTTGGCAAAAAATAAGATCATTTTCTGTCAATCGCTCCCGCTGGGAAAAAGATCAATGTATATGCATCACGACATATACCTTTCGAGACCGAAAACACTCACCTGAATTTGAAATGTTTCGTTCAGCAGAGTTGTTTCCCTTTGTCGTTACAAGATCCGTTGCTATGTGATCCCTATATTTGAATCCAAGATTCGTCCCTAATATGGTTCTTCGTTAGTCAAATCAGGGTTAGAACTGATCTTCAGTACCCCATGCTTGTCATAAGAGGCCACTAACGGGATCGGGTGGTCAGGATCGCTGACACGGTTGACACATGTCATCGTATCTCATTGGTGTAGATCAATGCTCATGATGTTGATCACAGGATTGCCTCGATTATTTACTGACCGCCGCCATATAGCTGGCATATTGCTGATTGCGGCGTAATGCTAAACTCACTCACTCACACTGCATATGGCAGCATTACTGCCTGTCTTACTTTCTGTAGCCTTAACCTGACACGCTTTGATGAAACTTAAATAGTGAGTCCTTGACGGTTTTACTTCCAGATAACGGATTTCTGCGACGACCCCTACAGCGCCCCGGGGGAGTACGCCCACAACGTCTACGCCCCTAATAGACAGAACAGGCTGTGTAACTACCGGAGTGCGTGGGAAGTCATGAGAAAACATGACGACTTTAGAAAGAGTAAGCCATAGCTTCATCATCGGGTACATACTAGGCCACTGAGCTGACTGGCACATGTGGTACTTTGAAGGTGGTTGATGGTCTTGGCGGCGACTTTGTAGTCTATAATATGCAGAGCTTTTGTTACGGGGAGGGACCACATAATGCTGAAAGGAACGTTGCAAGTTGGTGTTTGTTGCCTTTCTTGCGTTAGATGGATAAAACGCAAACTGGTATCTTAGTTGGCAGGCGCTACATAACCCACAGTCTGTAATATCCCTGGCTGGGACTAGCACTATCACCCTCTCCTCTCTCCTTAACCCCCTTCACCCACCCCCACCTCCACAAACACACTTACACACAAACTCTCTCTCTCTCTCTCTTGAAGTTGCTCATCAAGCTGAAGACCAAGGTTTGATCCCCCGCATGACCCCCCTCTCTCTCCCTCCCCATCTCTCCCTCCCTCCCTCCTTCCCTCCCCTCTCTCTTTCTCTCTTTTAAAGTGGTGGGCTCGTCACGCTGACGACCAGGGTTCGATTCCTCATAGGGGTACAATGTATGAAGATTATCTCTGAAATTGCTGTAATATTCCTAAAGGCTGCGTGAAACCCATCTCACTCACACACTCTCTCTGCCTCTCTTTTTTTGCACTCACTTTGAATATTGTGTAATGTACTTGATACCGATTATGTAATGCTTATCTTATCTTATTGTATTTGATCTTTTAGTCGGGGGCTCCTCTACCTGCATTCACTGACACCACGCCCCGGTTTCACTTTGTGCAGGTGAAACCAACAAGGAGAGTTCTCGTTCTTGATGCCTCCGGAAGTATGACGGTACACTTTCTTCCAATCTAAGCATCTTTTTTTGGTCTTCCACTTTTGAAAAGCTATTTAAATATGTAAACTTGACAAATTGGGACACAAGCTGGAAACATATGACCGGTTTGAGACAGGCACCCAACTCACCCACTCACTCACCACCCACCCACCCACACCCACTCACTCTCTTTGTAATATGGAGTGAGTGAGTGAGTTAAAATCGGCAATATTTCAGCCATATTGTTACTTAAAAAGTTATAAATTAACAATACACACAATAACATCATAAAACACCTGTCGACGAAGGACAGTAATACAACTAGATTATCACAGGAATAAATTTAAGACTAGTAATTAAATCTAAAATATTTTACCTATAAATGACAATACAATATAAAACCCGGCTATAGATTGCCAACAACTGAAGGTAGATCACCATACTAAGGACCATGGGGACTTACAGTACCTTTGCTTCCTGCATGGGCCCTAGCTGGTCAGCAATTTAGATACATCTAGCCATACATTAAAACTACACATATTCTATTAAAAACATGGCAAGTTTAAGTTTACCTTGAATGTTTTGGGACTTACGTACCCTCTCAGGAGGACAATAATTTTACAGTACTTTAACCCCCTCGAGGATACAGCCACTAACAATCTTAGTTACTAATTCAAACTTCCAATCATAAAATATTTAGCTATTTACAAATCATTTAACAAATCTATGTCTTTTAAAAATGCAATAATTAAATGAAAACTGATTAAAAAGATCCTTCATAGTTCGTGATTTAAAATAGTTATCCCTTCTGATGGAATATTCAACACAGTCAAGCAAGACATGCATCAGATCACGGATGTAGGTTCTAATGCTAGCTTTGTAATCAGAGTATGGGATAAGAAGTGGTGTCACAGATTTGTTGAGTGCTGCCTTTGCAGCAAGATCGCCCATTGTGTTCCCAGAAATGCCAACATGGCTGGGTAACCAACAAAAGACGATGTCGAATCATTATACATTTCAATAATTTCTATTAAAAGTGGATGTTTACAAGAGAAGGTTTTAATGGCCTGAAGGCACAAAAGAGACTCGGAAAAGATTATGTATCGTTTATATTTACGGTGTTTATTAATATATCTAAGAGCTGTTAATATGGCGTGAGCTTCTGCTGTGAAAATAGAGCTGTTATTTGGTAATCGGAAAGATATTGTTCTGGATCCAATGACAGTGGCACAAGCCACTGCGCCACCATCCTTGGGCCCATCTGTAAATAAGGATTTGTATGCATTATATTTAGCCTTTGATTGATTATATTCTGGTCTATATCGTAATTCATTAGTTGAGGGTTTTTTAAACGCTGTCAGTGTTACGTCAACCTGTGGCCTCACCAATTGCCAAGGAGGAGAAGAAAGAAGGAGGGAATAAATAATATTTTCTAGCTCAATGCCAGCAGCAGAAATGAAAGTTTTGACTCGTAATCCAAGAGGTGGAACAAGAGGAGACGTTTTGTTGTACAGGTCCTCATAAAGAGGATTGAAAACACAATTAAATGCAGGATTTGACTTATTTGAATATAGTTTTGTTACATACTGTAAGGATAATTTTATACGGCGATGGTTAAGATATGGCTCATCTGCCTCGACGTAGACTGTCAACAGGAGAAGTTCTAAAGGATCCAAGACAAAGTTTTAGACCTTGGTGAAGAATAGAATCTAATATTTTTAGGTTGCCCTTACAGGCTCCACCATATACGATGGAGCCATAATCAAGTTTGGAATGGACCAATGATCGGTGTAGGAGTAGGAGAGTAGCTTGATCCCCTCCCCACTTAGTATTTTTTTAATATGGACACAATACTGGTAAAATGTGACACCCACTGTACATGACCCCTCAACAGTAATGCAAAACAAATTAACCAACGCTCTCTCTTATACGACAGGGGCCATCAATGGCCATACTGCGCCAAGCAGCCAGTAACTACATACTGACCAGTGTTGAGAGTGGAAGCTGGCTTGGCATTGTACAGTTCAACACGGATGCAACAACGCTGTCTGAGATGGTTCACATCAGGTCCCAGGCAGACAGAGAACTTCTTACCAACCGCTTGCCAACATACGCCGAGGGCAAGACCAGTATAGGGGCCGGTCTCGGAAAGGCTCTGGCGGTAGGTGTATGCTCTGAACATACGTTTCGGATGTGTATTAGTTATATGTGCAGGACCCCGATCCATAAACCATTCGTAATGTTACGACCTTTCGTAACTTTATAGTTTATCATAGGTTTACGAATGTCGGAGCGCTACGAACCCTTTGTGGATAGGGAACTAGGGCCCTAACACACAAATAAGTAGCACTGAACATCATTTCGAAACTAATATAATGAAGAGGAACAATCTTTCATGGAACTTGCTTGATAACGGGGTCAGCATCTCCACCAAAACGTCGCATCCATTGCTATCCAAAGTTATCCGTCCATAAAAAAATCTGTTCAAATAGCATAAAATGCGACCATTGTGGCATATGAGGTAATCGGAGCCACAAGATCATCAGAATTAAAAGGAAAGTAATCCTATGTCTTTGGTGAACCGTTTAGTGGTGATTATTATTATGCTCATATATCAATTCGTTAATCTTCTCATTCATTTGAAGTTTATTGTATTTCTTGCAAACAAACATCTTATGTTCTTATAAGCCCCTATGGTTGACATTAAACGAAATGTGAGACGCAAATACACTACACAATACTTAAAGTTAAGTAATATTTCCTCACTCTCTTACTCAATCGGGATGAGACTTTGTTCATATTCCCTCTTTATATCAATACTAACAGGCCCTAGAGAGTTCGAAGACGGGTTCAGGTGGAACTCTGATATTAATTACTGACGGCAAGGAGAACAAGTCACCTTGGATAAAGGATATCAAACCCAGGCTGTTCAAGAGCAAGGTGATGATTCACGCCATCGCCTATACTCAACAAGCGGAAGCAAGCATAGCGCAGCTCGCAGGGGAAACGGAAGGGCGGACATTTTTCTTTACTGGAGAACCCAACTCGACTTCGTTGATTGACGGACTAGCTGCGACTGTTGGAGCCCAAAGCTTCGACAATTTTGCAGTCTCTGTAAGATGTTTTTCCTCCTTTTCTTGATTTCTTAGTATTTAACATTTATTCGTAATAACACTGTAAAAACTGAACGACTGTGATTGACATGGATGTACACAGTTGGGTACGATGACATGCATCGACCTGACCACCTTGCAACGATAAGCATGGGTTGCTGGAAAGCAATTCTAACCCTGATTGTCAGCGAATGTACCTCACATTACAGATGTTGACAGGAATGGATTCCGCCATATTCATATCCGCGTCCATCTTGTCCTATTATTTGTAGATTTTTGACTGATGATCTCATGACCTTGACCTTTGCGGTTTAAATGGTCGGGCTATGCACAAACGGTCTAATGGTACCCGGTTTCATTGAATCTTGTTGACTCTTTTATCTGTTATCGCATACTGATATAAACACTCTGCATTTAATGTACGCGTAGATTAGTGGAAGAATCCAGTTTGACAATATAAGAAAAGTCTGTTTTGTTTTCTCTGAAAACATATTTTTTTTAATAAAGGTGAGTTCTGAAGCTGCAAAGATACTCCGAAAGACTCCTCACGTCGGCAGCTTCATCATCGACAAGACCATCGGCCGTGAGACAACGGTGACAATCACCTCCGACAAACCAGTCGATGTCCTCTTGCATGACCCAACGGATGCCACGACGAAAACAGATGTCTTCAAAAACAGCACCAATGGCATTCTGACGGCGATTATACCAGGTCTTGCAATGGTAATAATTTAACTGGTAGTGCCAGGAGTAGAGCTCATAGACCACGGTTCTCCGCCTGCCAGAGATTAGAGTTTATATAATTACCCATGTGAGGAATCAAACTCGAGCCTTCGGCGTGACGAGTAAACGCTTTACCACTAGGCAGCTCCACCGCCCGAGAGACTATTTAAAGAAGGTGTCCCAAAAAAGAAATAAGAAATCTCTTCCAGCCAAAAGCAGAGCCGGTTGTACAATTATGACTATATCATGAGAAGATATTTGTTTCAGTAGTATTACAGCTGTATGATGTTGTTTGTAAACAAATCGGATCTGAACCAGACAATCCAAGAAAGGCAAGGCAGGGTAGGCAGGGTGAGATGAGAGACATTATCTAGCTTCCTTACACACTCAAAAAGAAGAAGAAGAAGAACATATGCTATAAAACTCCATATGTAAGCGTCAATGCTTATGCCCATAAGGTTGTTGCACTAAATAAATCTAAATACACCACACCACACCGCTTTCTGAATACACAGGTCATCGTTGCACTGACTCATAACAACATCTACGAGGTGAGGTGAGGTGAAATTGGGTTTAACGTCGTGCTTGAGAATATTTCGCTCATATTACGACGTGCATGCGTGTGTATGTGTATGTGCGGCTGCTTGTACTAGCTCAGACTGGGTTTATAGTGCTAGCTCACCGAGATACCATGCCGCAGTGAAGCATGAATGCCCCACTCAGACACATTATACTGACTCCGAGTCGACCAGTCCTTGTTGTACCCATTAATTCCGAGCGCCAGGCAGGGACCAACAAGTACCATATTTTAACGTCTTTTGGTATGACGCGGTCGGGGATCGAACCCGCGACCTTCCGCTCTCCGGGCGGACGCTCTAACCACTACACCACGGAGGCAGTTCAACATCTACAAAACATAACATATGATCCATATTGAGTCCAGGACAATGCCTAATATATTTTCTTCCGGCAAATGATAATTATCAGGAGCATACTTTATGTTCTTTTTCAAAATATACTCTTAAAACAGTAGGGGAAAGTGAACTTTCAATATGGATAGTAATTATAAGCGTTAACAAACTCTTCAAACACAGACATCTTATGAACGCACCACCACTTCTCTTTATCACCACCTCTAAACACAAAGCACTATCTCCATACACGTGCATGGGATGCCATTCTTGATTTTGACGGTTTTCAAGAAGGTCGATAAATCACTGTAAACCATTTATTTTGACAATCATCTTGCATCACTCAGTTGTTAGTGTTTGTTTCTACTGTTTTGGGGTTTGAAAATGAAAATCGTACACATGCAAATTTCACGTCATACACCAGTCATCTTTCAACAGCGATTACTCTACAGACAAATGTGTTCATAAGGAAGTGTAAATGGTGATGCACTCTCAAAACATTCATTATTATCATTTCAACATTGATTGACTCCAATATATCTCCCAATTTTTTCAATCGTAAATTTAAAATTATGTTCCCCTACGTTTTTTCAAGAGTATAAATATAACACGATAGGTCTGTATTTCAGAAAGGAGAATGGAAATACACAGTGTCATCCTTAGGACCATACGCTAATGCCCTCGTTCACGTGCAGTCCAAGGCAAGGTCAAAAGGTCATGACGTCATTCAAGCACGATCTTGGGTTTCCACAGAACTATTAACATTTGAAACCAAAGCCAGGTTCACTATTTTTGCTGACGTGACGCGAGGCACTGCCCCCGTTCTTGGCGCAAAGGTCAAGGCCACAATGGAAAGACCAGGAGCAGGTACCTCTGAGGTTGAGTTGCTCGACGATGGCGTTGGTACGTACATGACTATATTGCGTGTACTAAACAATGACACTGTTCCACGCTAACACCACTAACCAACTGAGCTGTTCGTTGTTAAAACGTTGTTAGCCTTAATTTAATATCATAACGATCAAGTGAATTGTTCCTCAGCCGTACCAAATTTAGGTTGTCGTGGATTCGAATCCCCGATTGCCTCTGATCATGGTACCCGTGAAGGTCCGGGTAAAATATTGATCTTCAGTAACCCATGCTTGTCGTAAGAGGCGACTAACGGGATCGGGTGGTCAGGCTCGCTGACTTGGTTGACACATGTCATCGGTTGCCCATTGCGCGGATCGATGTTCATGCTGTTGATCACTGGATTGTTTGGTCCATACTCGATTATTTACATATAGCTGAAATATTGCAGAGTGCGGCGTAAAACTAAACTCACTCACTCTGATCATGGTTCATGGTATGTCACCACCTGATCATTTGCTTTGCAAAAGTGATAAATGCCATATGTTCCACGTTCCCGTGCTTAAAATGCTGTGACTGTTTAAACCTGGTTTAACCGAAATATTGCCTAAAGTGACCATTACACTTTAACGCCCAAGCAGGGTTATAATGGTTAGGATCTATCTGTGTGTCTTTATGTGTATGTGTGTGTCTTTGTGTCTGGATGTATTTGTATGTGTGTCTGAATTTGTGTGTTTATGCATGCGTGTGTCTCTGTATGTGTGTCTGTATATGTACGTTTGTGTCTTTCTCTGTCTTAGTGTCCCTTTCTGCGAGTCTGTCCTCACTGAGTCCCATGGGGTGTGTCCCCGTGTCTGTGTCTCTCTATGTGTGTCTGTCAGTCTGTCTGTCTGTCTGTATGCATTTCTCTATCTCAATGATATAGATTACTATTGTTTCAGGCTCTGATCTAATCAAGGACGATGGAGTATATTCATCGTACATTCTTCCACGTGATCTTAAAGGGAATGGAAGGTACAATATGAAGGTGAAGGTTATTGGAGAAAACGTGTCAACCAAGGTCATTACGAAAGGTCACCAGACAGGTGCTCTTGAAACAGGGAGTTCAGGAAATGGTAAATATCACAAACTTGAAATACAGTGATTAATTCTTTTCTGCAGTTTAATAAAAGTGGTCACATCTTGAAGGCTGACAAAATCCAATATTTTTCGTCAAACTATACTGAGTCAAAAAGAAACTTCACATTCTTTCTTAAGGGCACTATAAAAGAACAAGAGATGGTAAAATGGTTAAATTGTTATTATTTCATTGCTGAGATCTGTGTAATGTACTCGATACACTGACAGTGCCATAATCAGTTCCATTAGGCTACACCGCCGTTCCAAAACATGGGTATACAGAATGTCAAGTCACAAGAATAAAAATGCGAAATGTCTCAGTTCAATATCGTGTATGGCCGCCCCGCGCATTCACCACTGCCAAACACCGTCTCCTCATCGACTGCCTGATGCTTGTGAACACGTGGTTGGGGATTCTGCGCCATTGCTCTTGCAAGGCAGCGCCAAGTTCCTGCAAATTCTGAGGTTGGCTCCTAAGACCATGAAGCCTTCTCCCAAGTGCATCCCAAACGTGCTCTATTGGATTAAGGTCAGGGGACCTCGATGGCCAGTCCATGACGTTGATTCCAGCGTTTTGAAGGAAATTTCGTGTCAACATCGCGGTATGCGACCGAGCATTATCATGCTGGAACTGTAGACCTGGGCCATGAGCCGCCATGAAAGGAACGAGTTCAGGGGTGAGCACCTGGTCGCGGTAAGCAGCAGCTGTGAGGTTTCCACGGATGACCAGAAGTCGGGAACGGTTGTTCCCACAGAAAGCACCCCACACCATGCAACTTCCGCCCCCGAATCTGTCGACTTCCTGTACACAACATTGGGCATACCGTCCACGACGTCGTCTCCAGACTCTATGCCTGCCGTCCGCGAATCTGAGGGTAAACCTGGATTCATCGCTAAAGACGACTCGATTCCAGTCTCTCTTGGTCCATCGGAGGTGACGTTGGGCCCACAGCAGACGTTGACGTTGATGAAACGGCGTCAATATTGGCCCACGATATGGACATTGAGAATGGAGATTGGCAGCCCGCAACCGATTTCGAATGGTCTGTGAGGACAGTCGACCTCTAAACATCTCAGCCCTGGTTCGTGTAGCCGGCAGAAATCTGTCACGTAGGTGACGTAGGACGATTTGACGGTCTTCTGCTCGTGACGTCACACGTGGACGACCCGACCTTGAGCAATCAGAAGTGGTGCCAGTTTGTTGTAGACGACCTCGCAAGTCATACACAATACGATGGCTGCATCCCATTGCTCTTGCGACGTCAATAACTGATCTTCCCGCTTGCAACATGCCAACGGCACGTTCACGTTGCACATTTGACAATCGTGGCATTTCAAGTACCGTTAGAACTGTGGTTTAAAAGAGTTTTTTCAATTCTTGAGGCCAATGCAAACACGTGCATATGAAGAAAACTTCGATGCGAAGATCACGTGATCGACTGCACGTGCAAAACCTGATTTGGCACTAACGTTATTTGCACGACGAATGGATAGGTTTGAGTGGGTTTTGCTAACGTTTTTCTAGAGTCGAAAGATAGGGATCCCATTTCGGATACATAGATGTATCATCAGAGAAAGATTATTCATTATTTTTCAAATTACATTTTGTGAAGTTTCTTTTTTGACTCAGTATATTAACAGAGGATGTGTTTAAACCAATGGCCATTTTCATGCAATTGTTTAGAAAACTCCTTTCATCATATGAATACAATATTTTCATTTCACGTAGTTTCAGGGGCGGTGGGGTAGCCTAATGGTTAAAGCGTTGGCTCGTCACGCCGAAGACCCGGGTTCGATTTCTCCACATGGGCACAGTGTGTGAAGCCCATTTCTGGTGTATCCCGCCGTGATATTGCTGGAATATTGCTAAAGGCGGCGTAAAACCATATTCACTCACCCAAGTAGTTTCAGGTGCACGCGGTGTCATCAAATAGACACGACAAAAACAGTATGATAATGTTTGTAGCTTTCAAATAGTCAATATCATACCCATTGCACTCAACAATATTTCACCTGTATGTCAGCGACCTGTAAATAATCGAGTTTGGACTAGACAATACAGTGATCAACTTTCCGTTTCCGATGACATGTGTCAACCAAATCAGCGAGCCTGACCACCCGATTCCGTCAGTCGCCTCTTACGAAAAGCATGAGTTGCTGAACACCGATTCTAACCCGGATCTTCACGGGTGCAATACCACACCCATGTGTTTCATCAAAGTAGCAACGTATAAAACTTGCATCAGATCGTATTGCCCTCCATCAATAAGTTAATGACACTGTGTTTAACTAACAGTCACACCGTCGTTTCAGTCTTGAAGTCCGGAAAGGAGACAGAAAGTCTGGGTGACTTCCAAAGAGTGACAACAGCGGGGGAGTTTCGAGTACAGGGATACCCGTCAGTTGAACCCGACATTCGAGATGTCATACCACCTGCGAAAATTGGGGACTTTACCGTGACGTCATTTGACCAAGATGTTGGAGTTGTCGCGCTGGAGTGGACAGCCGTTGGTGATGACATGGGTCGTGGGAGAGGTAATACGACCGAAACTGTGATGGATATGATATTTATGATAATAAAAGCAAGAAACGGGCAACTAAAGTACTGTCGGAAATATAAAAAAACCCTGTTCTTTTCACATTGATATCTACAATTTAAGTAGTTAATATGTGAAAGTGTGAAATATCTGTTGAACTGAGTTCGGCCTAACTACAGTCTCAGTGGTAGGGAGATAGGAAACGTTATAAAGGATTTTATTGAGGAGATATTAGTGCAGAAATGAGCAATGCGGTTCTTTTCGAAGTTACTTATTTGGAGTAGACCATGGCTTTATGCAAATTAGTGTGCGATGATATTGTATAACAAATGACACTTTTTGAATGTCCATTTTGAAATTAGACCTAGCTTCATAATAAACGACAGCAGACGTAAAAAATAACAACTTTAACACTGAAACTATTAAGGATATAGATACCATTTAGTCTCACTATCACTATAAAAAGAAACAGATTGGAGGGGTCGTCTCAAAAAAGCAAAACCAAGACGGGTGTTGCTGACGGTAGTTGGGGTCGGGCTTGGGGATAGAGATATTAGCTAAGATTAGATAATCAATTGAGAGATATTCAATACACATGAAAAAGCATAAAATATATTTGAGTGACCCGGAGTTGACGGTCCGTCGTCATACCTGGCTGAGCGACCTAATTGCCATCTATAGTCTGATCTATTGTTTTCAGCATCTGTTCGTATTTTTTCTAAGTTTTGCCCGATTTTACGAGTAAACATGCTTTTCTGGATATCTTATTACGCATCCCACTGAACGCCCAGTTAGGCCGATGTGGGTTATTTCAACATATCTTATTTGCAATTGTGTAAATTTTAGGGATACAGAGTAACAGCCTAAAAACAGGGTTTTTTTTGCTAATTTCGACAGTACTTTAACATTATTAGCCACACAGACATTATCGAAAACATATATGAATCCCCAGTTGACGAACTACAGAAAAGACTTTTCAACTAGGACAGTAACCCAGCTGACACCAATTTTTTTTGCAACGTTGTGGGAATGTTGTACATTGGTAGCGTCATGACACAACGTTGTCACAACGTTAGTATTACGTCATTTTATAACGTTATGTCACAGAGTAATAACAACGTTTCAAATTTACGTTGAGGAAACGTTATGCTTTGGGCTCATAACAACGTTATAACGTTTCTTATAACTTGGCGTCACAGAGTTTTCTGTAACACTTTTCACTTTGAGATTCTTTCTTCACTATTCAGCTACAGCTTCAGAAAACACACGACCAAAACAACATGCAAATTGCTTTGTTTCGTATGTACTTTTCACTACTGGGAAAACTATTCAACTATTAACGTTAAATAGAACGTTGAGACAACGTAAAATCCGTTAGCATCAAATAACTTTACCTTTTGGCGACGTAAAAATGACGTTTCACACCGTCAGGACACACCGTTGTGACAACGTAAATGTGAGTCCACAGATTAACGTTGTACAACGAAAGCATAACGTTGTGACAACGTTGTGACAACGTGGAATTGTTAGCTGAGTATTACTCTTAACAACCAAGGATGAACGAACCCTGTTTTCATCCAGTCGTATTTCAATCAAGTGTACAGGTTTCTTTTGAACAAAATAAAATATACTGTTAGGTATTAGAATTAAAGATTAAAATCTCTTTCAAAGACGTGAGTCCATACCAAATTTAGAATAGCGTCATTTTAGTGACACACTTTGGTAAGGTTGAGTACAACCACATTCATCCATTACAGGGGCAATGAGGATTGTGGTTAGCGGGTTAGCGACCCAGGTTCGATTCGCCATACTGGTGCATTTTATGGCGTCACGAGTCGTGATATTGTTGGAATACTGCTAAAACTGGCGTAAGACCATCCTGAATAATTTACTCATACATTTGAAAAATAGGCTTCAGTAAAGTGTCATAAGTAAGTATTTTGTACATTCCTGACTGTAATGTTTTTTTCCACAGCGACTGGATACAAGATCCACATGTCCAGGGATATTGGAGAGCTGCTACACAATATCGATACCTCAGAAGAGATCAGCAGCTTGGCACGCAATAGAACTCTACAAGAACCAAAGGACGTCGGTCTTCTCGAACAGCTCGAACTGCAAATAAAGCAACTTCACAAAAACGACACCATCTTCCTGGCTCTGCGTGCATACGACGAAGCCAACAACTACGGCGAGGTTTCAAACATCGTCTCCGTCTCGTACGTCGACGAAGTTGCTGTACCACGTGAGCGTATTGACGTTCCCATGACGTCGTTTCTTGCCGTCATCATTGCGCCGATGGTTGGATTCCTTTTGTTTCTTGTGCTAATGACGATTGTGTGTTTGGTGTGGTCAAACAATCGACAGAAGGAACACAGTCGAAGGAAGATGTTTCGAGCGGACAGTTCGTCGTCGTTGAAGTCTGTGACGTCGGAGTATCCTCATATGAACTACCGAGTCGATGGCGAGTATGTTAGGCGCTGGAAAGAAGAACCCAGTTCATGGACAATGCCGTGAAACCAATTACCATCATAATCACGTATGCCAAAGACTCCGTATATAGTTGTGCATTTACTGAGAGAAAGGAGTAACGCCTATGCCACCCTATTAGTATTATGCTCATATAATATAATCAGGTCTCGCGAGAAAGGGTAAGCTTGTCATTGGACAATGGAGTGTTGTTCTGTTTCAGCGAAAATACAAACCGGTGGTTTCGAGAGATAGCGATATGCATTTGTCACATGTGACAAAGGATAGACATGAATGTGACTGTGAATATAAATGATGCTGCTGAAATATATATCTGTGCTAATTATCGGTGTCATTGCATAATATATTGGAGCGAAAAAGGTTTCCTACCGAAAGAAACGGGAAAGATATTATGTGTGTTTCGAGTTAAGGTGACCCAAGACACTGTTTCGAGAGAGAAGAAGTTCCGCATGAGGAGTTTAATTCAAGGCTGAATTCAACACAAGCCAGGCACATGAAGACATTTGAACCCCGAACCTTAAATGTGTGTTTGTCCGCTGCCAGTTTTCGAGAGAGGGCCATGGCTGGGTGAGTATGGTTGGTATAAGCTGTGGAACGTTGCCCTGCAGAGATGGGCCCCTTAACCGTCGATGGATCCGCTGGGCAAGGTACTCAAGATGATTTGGATCCATGTTCGTGAGTTTCACAAAAGTCAATGACCCCTGCCACATCTTGTGCTTTCATCCTGAAGAAGACTGACAGGCTGATCAAGGCGATGTCCGCAGGTGGCAACATGACTTGTGGGCGGTGAGGTAGCCTTTCTGTTAGCGTGTGTGCTGTAGAAATCGAAGGTCATGTTTGATTTTCCCACGGGGTCCATTCGTGGTAACTTGTGGTGAAATATTGCCATAACCGGCTATAGCCTCATTTACGCATGTAACGAACGAAAACAGGACATGCATTGAGTCAAAGACTAAGAATTTATGCTTTTCTGTAGATAACGTGTATACTTTGTGTATATAGATAGTGCAGAGTGAATGTCCGCCACAGTCTTACATCTATAGATATATTTTGATATATTATTGTGTCTCATATTTAATAAACGTATTGCTCGATCAACATGTTTGTTCTAGATCGTGATTGTTCAGTGTCACTAATTTATGTCAAATATAATTACATATAATAAATAGGGGCACAAAGTGTCAAAAGCCTCAACACTTAACGCTTATACATTCAATTGCCACAGAAACATTGTTAAACCGGACGGTAGAACACCAAGCAATATTCCAGCTTTATGGCGGCGGTTTGTAAATGTCGAGTCTTGGTAAGACAATCCAGTGATCAACATCATGAGTATCAATCATCGCAATTGGGGTACGATGACATGTGTCAACCACGTCATCGAGCCTGACCACCCGATCCCGTTAGTCGTCTCTTACGACAAGCATGGGTTGCTGCAGACCAATTCCACCCCGGATCTTCACGGGAAAAAACTCTCTATCAAGCATACAAACATATCAATAATTTCAAGCTATGAAACAAAGTGTCTAACCTAACGGTTTCTTTTGGTAATAGTTAACAACTGGGCCACAACTTCGCTAACCGGACAAATTTCGGCGACTGCTGCGATATTGCGCAGCACGATGGAAAGTCGGGGTTCTATACCGCAGTAAAACGATGATCTTCGGTGTTATAATTGCCCTGCCTGACGCTCTGTATCTGGGTGATAAAAATGCAAATGGCAGTGGAACGTGTCCGAGTGGAGTACCCGTCTCAAGTTCACAGCAAGCACACACACACACACACACACACACACACACACACACACACACACACACACACACACACACACACACACACACACACACACACACACACACACACACACACACACACACACACACAGAGAGAGAGAGAGGAGAGAGAGAGAGAGAGAGAGAGAGAGAGAGAGAGAGAGGGAGGAACACACACACAGACACACACACACACACACAGACACAGAGAGAGAGAGAAGAGAGAGAGAGAGAGAGAGAGAGAGAGAGACACACACACAGACACATAAACACACACAGAGACACACACACAGACAGGAGAGAGAGAGAGAGAGAGAGACACAGTGACAAACACACACAAAGACACACACAGACACACACACAGACACAGACACTGACACACACACACACACACACACACATACGTGCGCGAATTTGCACGTTGTTGGATAACTGCATTCATCTTGAATTCGAACGCGACACTAAAACCTCAACACATTGCTTATTGATGTCCTGCTGGTACATGTATGACTTAACCCTTTTAGATGACCTTTGTATAGGAGACGTCGTCGGACTGAGTCAGAAGATACAGATAACAAGGAATGCTAGGATAGGGTTAGGTGGGCACCAACAAGAAACCTGACCAATGGTGTTCCTTATGTACATGGATGTACATATGGACAAAGCCATATATGGACGGTCGAGTTGATGTTGTCACTTAAAACCAAGAACCTATAAAGATCCGTCACATTTTGCAATATGCAGATCAGAACCGGTGGTAGCCTAGTGGTTAAAGCGTTCGTCACGTCGAAGACCATTTTTGGTGTCCATGTCGTGATATTGCTGGAATATTGCTGAACCATACTCACTCACTCACTCAGAACCAGTGTCCGTAAACCTCTTTAGTATTTTATAAATATGACCTCCTTACTGTCTTCTGAACCCAAATAGTTTGATATGGTTAGCTAAAATAACAAAGGGGCGGTGGGGCAGCCTAGTGGTTAAAGCGTCCGCTCGTCACGGGTTCGATTACCCACATGGGTACAATGTGTGAAGCCCATTTCTGGTGTTTCCCGCCATGATATTGCTGGAATATTGCTATAAGTGGCGTAAAACAATACTCACTAACTCGAATTACGACACATGCATTTATACAAAACATAGAAAAAAATAAGGATTTCTTCCCCACGTTTCTGCATGACACGAGTTCTGAACATCCATCAGCCAAATCTAGCGTGTTGAAGTCTGACATTGTGGTTTCCAGAGATTTGCCAGAGGGCCACGAACATGTCAACATGAATACGCCGCTACGCCCACATTGACACTTCACATCAGGCGGCAGTTGCCCACCAGGGTGTTTTCGAGAACGTGAACGTGATCATAAAACAGCTTTCCAGATCTCCTTTATCTTACAAAACTTCAACATGACAACGAAGATGGATTAATAGTGTTCAAACGTGTGTTGTACAGGTGGCTCGTTACTTCAAGCACGCCACCTGGTGTTGTTAATATTGGCTTATTTATTCACAGATTTTTGTAGCTCGTAAAAATATATTCTAAATATAGAAGGATGCTCACAGTTCGGATTGTTTCTATTCAAAAATATAATTTCTGAATTCTGAAACGGGGGCGTGGTCTACCATGACGTAAGTGGCTGCACACTCCGCTATGATGATTTGCGGCCCTGCGTTGCTGCAGGATCAGCTGTCAGGAATCAGAATAGGAAATTCGTAAGGATTATGATCTTGTGATTGTCAACACCAGACACTAGTGTTAAAACAAGCCGAAAGTATTTAAGCCAAATAGTTATATCTACTATGTGTACATGTTTTTATCAAATTTCGATTTATTTTCTTTCTACATTGATCATTTGCTCGTAACTTCAAACATTTGGTCGTTACTTCGATTTGTTTTAAACAAACTTGAAAAGTTCGGTTATTTCCTCTTTGCTTCGATAATTATCTCATTCATTCTTTTATTTTCTCGTTGCAGAGAGTGTTTTCTCTATATTTACGTGAAATTTGAACATTTTCTCGTTAATTCAGTTATATTAATTAATAATCGAAAATATGACAAATAAGTAATCTATGCCACAGGAGGGCGGCATTAGGCTGTCGTAGTTACGCCTCGGTTCAACTAAAGTGATACACACAGCGGCTTATTCAACTGCCATAGAAAGGAACAATTTGGTTTAATCTTTACGTCATTAACATAAACCCAGATGCCTTGTCATTTCTCATCGTATCGCCTTCGTGGGCAAGTGGATAGAGACTCCACCTCGTGAGCGACAGGTCTGTGTTTGATCCTCGGCCGCTACCTGGAGGGGCGGTGGGGTAGCCTAGTGGTTAAAACGTTCGCTCGTCACGCCGAAGACCCGGGTTCGATTCACTACATGGGTAGCCCATTTCTGGTGTCCCCCTCAGCGTAACACCTTACTCACTCACCCACCCAACCACCCATGGCTTGAAACATGCCCAAGCTCAGGCAGAGTATGCAATAGTCTATCTGTAATGGCAGGTGATAGTGTACCATTCCTTGCATTCAGGAACCTTAATCGACTGTTCAGCCTCACACATCCCTTTCGAGTGCCTGGATGTAAAGCTCGTTGGTTTGATTCGTAGATTCTCCCTAGGATAACTTTTCACGGGTTCTCTCACATTTTCCCTGGTAGCGATTTGTCAGGAACGGAACGCACCTTGTCAATATGGCCGTTGAACAAGGCAGCCACATTTCCTAAACATTTTACTAGTGCTTCACTCAACTTATACAATTCTAGCATCACATCGGTGTAAAACGGTATGAGTGAGTGAGTGAGATAGTTTTACGCCGCATTCAGCAATATTCTAGCTATAAGGCAGCGGTCTGTAAATAATCGAGTTTTGACCACACAATCCAGTGATCAACAACATGGGCATCGATCGACGCAAGTGTGTTTCGATAACATGTGTCAACCAAGTCAGCAAACCTGACCACCCGATCCCGTTAGCCGCCTCTAACGACAAGCATGGGTTACTGAAGATCTATTCTAATCGGGATCTCCACGGGTTCAAAACGGTAGGAGGAACAGTGCAAACAGGTACTACACAAGTTACCTAGTACACGTCGTTATTGACAGACAAGATACGCTAGGTGTACAATTTCTTTCAGTGAGAAGCTGAGAGAGGAAAACCGTTTCATGCCATGATTAAATACTTGAATCATATAAGGGGTGATAAAATTAGACAGTTTTCCTTCAGTTATGTTCAGACGTTATCACTTATGATATTGTTATGATTATGTAAATATATTTCCAACGTGACCAACACGCGGTGACGTAGTTTCTATAGAAAATATGTAGTCATTTTCAGTGTAATAACGCGCACAGAAATCGTTTGGGTTAAATTATGATTCAAAATAATTATAAGACTTTAAATGATCTTCCCATTTCATGTTAAGTTTATGATAACAGTGGACCTCGTTTAAAGTGATAACATTTCTACGCTTGACAAACATCTTGGCATGAAATTGGAAAGAGTTTAGTTCGAACGATCTCGATAGGGATTCTTTCGAAACAATTCATTTATAATCTGTATACATCTGATCATCTGTTATACCTACGTGTAATACCACAAAGTGTATAGAAAATCAACAGGAATCTATTATTATTTTGTCTGACTCTGAATGTCGATTAAAGTTTATTTCAAAACCTCGAAATTGCAAGAAATAGCGAGAAATTTTGATTAAAAAGTAATTGATGCAACAGAAGTGACGCCTTTAGGATCTCGTAGTTATGCCTTGGCTCGACTAAAATGATACACAGCAGTTCATGCAATTGTTAATGTCACGAAAAAGAATATGACATTTACGAAATATCTTTTGAACCTGGAATAAACTGAATGTAAATGTATTAAATTGCCAAGAGTCTTATGCCAGAAGGTGGTTGTTCATGGATTCATGGGCCAATCTGGCGATACAGAGACCTGAATTCTGTATTTCCTGGAAATAGTGTTATGGACCAGCCTGACACTTATTCTTTTGCATCTTATAGCTTTTCAGGTCTATATTTGCTGGAGTATGCCATCTCTGTATCCCTGGTGCTGTAGACTGGCTTCCACTGCGACATCGTCCTTGTTGACACTGTGTGGCGGGTGAGGAGCAGGGATGTTGAGTTGACATCATGTCTCAAACAAATTCTTCTGGCTCAAGCAAGACAAATAATTTCAATCGAATCGAATTCATCGGATGAGGATGTTACTTCTGCAGTTGAAGATGCTTGGGCAGGGTACATAATGATGTCGGATGGACTTGCACTGAAATTATATCCATTTGCTACCTCAAAAGGCATTCAAAGTACATGCGGAGAAA